GGGAGTGAGCAGATGTTTGTTTTTGCTTTGGTTTTTGTTTTTCCTTTTTATTTTTTATTTTTGGTATATCTAGTAGTGTTTTTATGCTGACACGATTTAGATCATATAGGAGGCAGGCATCGTCTCTGCCTGTTAGAGCCAAACTAGGCTGAGAAGGATACAATGTCCCAGCAGACCGACAGAGGTGCGGTGGAAACTGTTTAAGACGGCCACCCATTGTCGAGGAGAAAAATTGCAATCTTAGACAGGTCTTAAACAGTGTCATTTTAATCTTTAAAAAAGGTAATAAGCAGGGGAGGAAATAGAAAGTGGCCGTGTGTACAGGTGGTTGTCTTGTGCAGGTAGCTTTTAACCCTTCCAGTCCAATGCGTATATATTTTCAGCAGTGCTTGTTTGTCCATATTTCTTTTTCCTTAAAGTAAACTATTATTGTCCTGTTAAGTCCTTCTCTACCTCGCATGAGACTGTATATGCGAGTTGGTAACAGTATAACAATATGCGAGTTGGTAATAGTATAATGTAGGCTTGGCAGTAAAAGGGTTAATGTGCTTCTCTTTAGACATAAGAGTGCATTCTCAATTTCAGTTATTTTATTTGTATCAATTCTTTAGTGCTAGAAATTCAATGAGTGAATTAATGTTTATTGGAGAATATTGACTTTCTATGAGCACACATTTGTTTGGGTTTTTCCCCCTCAGAAACCTTCCTTGAGGGTGAAGGAAGCTATCATTTCCAGGCCACCTCTGCTGAGACAGCTATCAGGTATTGTTTTGGTTTTTCTCAAATGCTTTGAATTAGCTGCTATACCTCTTGTTTTCGTGTTCAACCTATGATTTTAAGTTCTTCATATCTTTTCTTTATGGCTATTTCCATGTAGGCCTATTTTATATGCAGATTAATTGATGTTTCAGATTTCATTGCTGAGTTCTATCAATTTGGAGACCCCCTTTGGGAAGTGGCATACATGAATACACAAGAACAATTTACACATAAAAATGCATGAATATTACACAGTATCACAAACATAAGGAATCCACACACCATCATTGATCACCACTGTGCTGCAACTCCCTGCACTTTAGCTTTGTTTATTATGAGGTTATAAATAATTGTGTCACGACACGGTGGAATTAGGCGCTCGTCAATTTTTTGGTTACTAGTATAATCTTAAAGCTTGTCCATTTTGTCTTGCATTTGGGGAAAAAATACCCTTCAATTTTGAATAGAAGTCGAGATATTTGCAAGTGAGGGAGGTGGCAGTGGCAGGTAGTTGCCTGGTGTCAGAGGTAAATGTAGCGAGAAAATGGCCACCGAAGTTTGGCGACCTCCAAAGCTTGAGTGTCCTTGGAAACTGGAAATTTACATTTTTCGTGCTTTTAATCACCGTTTTTCCAGTAAGATCCACTCAGAAATGTGTTTTAAATGGATGTAAATATAGCTTTATTAAGAGTGTCCGAGCAAAGGAATGAATGGAGAACCATGATCACCAATGTCTGCTGCAGATATGGCACTTGATGATGATGAAATGGTTTGAGCCAGGAAAAGAAAATTCCAGAAAATAGCCCAATGGCCATAAAAATGCTGGTTTCTTTGATATCATTATTTTGATGAGTGCCTGATTTCCCCATAATACTTCACAATTAAACTTCTTTATCTTAACTTTCAGCTCCAGTCGGTAACATGGGCCTTCCAAGTCCTTACCTGGGACAGGCCAAAGTTATTGTGGACTACAGTCCCGGTCCGGAAGAAGAGGAGTTCATTCCTCTTAAGGTATGGTTCCAGAGCCTTTGTTTTGCTGTTATCTTATTCTGTTATCTGTTAGACACTGATTTGTCAGTTCTTGAATCATCTTAATCATATCATATCTATTTAATCCTATCCGTACCACGTGTTTTACTATCATATCCATACGACATGAGGAACTCTGTGCCACCACTTTCCAAAGAGGAAATTTACTCGTTCATCCGATCCGTGCACTTTGCATAGCAGTCTGTGAAAATGATTTTTTGAGAAATGCTGAAAGTTTCAAAGAGATCTTCACACTAGAAGTATTCTAAAATTCGAAGAACACAACCCCGGGGGTACAGAATTATGCCAGGGCGTGTTGATAGGGTTAACGGTAGTTTTTTAGAACAAGTAGTTGCACCAGTTTGAACCTTAATCATATTTCGAGGGAGATCATTTTGATGGGTGAGCACAAGAAATGATGATATCTATTTTCAGTTGAAATGGAGTAATCGATATGGGTAGTGAGATTTTTCAGCCGCTCTTTTACCTCTTTATAAATCTAAGCAAAGATAGTAAATAACAAGAAGGGCCACTCAGCCCAAAAAGTGTCCGCAGGAAGTTTGCTCTTTGCTTCAGATGGCGCTGCAGTCTGTTTTGAAGCTCTCTTTCGTTTTTCCAGAAGAAGAATAGGAATAGCACCTCCTTGCGTGCGCATATCGACTGCTGTTCATCAGCAGTTCGGGTTCGTTCAGTGGGGAGTTTTAGGTCTTTTTTATTTTAATGACCTCTCGCCTTTCATTCTAAAGTCAAATTAAACGAAGAAAACAATCACCCTTTCCTCCGGAAGAGGTTTTTTGTCAGCGTAACCATTTAAAATAAGCGTTCTTCCGAAATTCATTCAAAAACTTGCTAGTTTCACTTTGATTTTTTAAACTCAAGTAGGATAACTCTGTTCGCAAAAGGTGCGCATTTGTGAAGAGGGCGCCACCGAATTTTGAGGACACTTTTTTAATTGGCTCAAAGAGAGAAGTGGCCCCTCTTGTTATGTAGACTCTTTGATCTAAGCCGTAGCTTAATTTGGTATCGATATATTAACTTTTCTTTTTTTACTATAATATTATAGAGATTTCAATATCGTCAAAATTTCAGACTGGTTTTCTCGAAACTGTGAAAAGTGGATATAGTCACGTCTTGCGCTCGGCCGTCGATTTGGGGTGTTTTGTGTCAATACTTTGTTAAAGAAAAAATTCTGTAAAACAAGTTTTACTTGGAATATTTGGCACACGTCATGCTTAAAACAGAGATTATGAGCACCCTCAACATAGCCAATTCTGGTGTGTGGGGGGATGGGATCTGATTGGCTTCATACTCACACCTTGTCCCCGTTATCTCAAATGCCCTCTTTCTAGATTCTTGATATAAGCCAATATCCCTTTCAGTTCAGTATACAATTTTGAAACTAATCTCATTGGAACAATTAATAGTTTATTATAATAATAAAAGAAGTATTGATAACAATAATTGCAAAAAATTCCATAATTAGCAATGCTTGATGCACTTTACGGTAAGTACGATGGCATTGAAATACAGGCAACATTCATGCCTGACAATAATCTGGTATATAGGCCTTGTGCAGATATAGAATGGCACGAATGTATGTATTTAATGTATAAATACATGTATACAGGGATGTAAGCAGTGATGGGCAAATACATGTAAAGAAAAACTTCCTGTAAATTGTTCTAGAAAAGTCAGCCAGATAAAAGTGCAATAAACAATCGAAATATACCATTACAACATAAAATCTGAGTCTACTTTTCAAAGCATTTGTAAAGCAAATGATACGAAAAGTATTCAAAGTACCTGTATTTATACAGGCACCAGATACCTAGCTATGATTCGATGCTGTTTAGCGTACGTTATCTCATGTCTTGTATATTTTTCTAAGAGAGAAGCCTGCATGCTGTGCACATGCACAAGTGGAAGTGAAGCCTTTATATGTTTAAAATGTGGCAAACCTTTCTCTGCCAGAATTTGTCTCATCGGTCACAGTACAAGCCACAAGTCATCGTTACGTTTAATTCTTCAAATTGGTCTATTTCGTTGGAGAAATATTCTCCTCTGCAGATGTATTGGTCATCGTCAGACATTGATGGACCAGCTATTATTAAAAATGATAAAAATAAATAGCTTTTGTATGGCGCATATCCCTGCTCAACAACAAGCACTATGCACTTTACGCTATACTACAGTATTACCCCAGCAGACCATAGAAAACTCAGAAACATTCTCAGCTTCCCGTGAATTACTATTATGTATATTTTTATATTTTTCCCCACACGCAGAAAGGGGAGATTGTGAACATCATCAACATGGCCCAGTCGGGGGTGTGGAGGGGCGTGGTCAACGGTCGGCAGGGGAAGTTCCGTTTTGAGCACGTGGAGGTCATCATTGACCCCGAGGGAGCTGCCATGAGTCATCGGGTTCAAGGTCAGAGCTCTGTGCTGTACGGACAGAAAGACATTCCTACCTCTGTTGAGGATCTGCTGCAGAAGATTGGACTCCTTTTTTTTTTTTTTTTTAAAGAAAGATATATTGATTATATTTTGTTATTTCTCAGCATCTCTCAACCACCTTTATGGAATCCCTCATATATTTCAGCATATGTCAAACACCTTTATGGAACTAATATATTTCAGAATCTTTCAAACACTTTTATGGAATCTCTCGTATATTTCTGCACCATCTCTCAAACGCCTTTATAAAACCTCTGATATATTTCAGCATCTCGCGATCTCAGTGCTTTCTTGTCGTATCTCCATTTTAAATAGCAGTGAAAACAGTTCATAATAAAGAATAAGCTTAAGAAGAAGTCCCATTTTCAATGTTTAAAAAAATGGAGATACGACAAGAAAGCACTGACGTCGCGATCTGTCAAACACTTCTATGGAATTCCTCCCATATATTTCAGCATCTCTCTAACACTTTTATGGTGAATGGCTATGATGACCTTGACATTTTCTCGGAGCTGGATGACCATGACCTGGACACTCTACACGTCACTGATCCTGAGCAGAGGACTAAGCTCTTGTCTGCAGCACATGTGCTGACGGACTGGCACGGTATGTATTATGTTGTTTTGTTATTGGTAGAAACTTTGGATTGTGAGAGTGTGTTCGTGTATGTGTGTTGTGTATGTGTGTGTGTGTGTGTGTTTTTGTTTGTGTTGTGTGTGTGTGTTTTTGTTTGTGTTGTGTGTGTGTTTGTGTTGTGTGTGTGTGTGTGTTTTTGTTTGTGTTGTGTGTGTGTGTTTGTGTTTTTGTTTGTGTTGTGTGTGTGTGCATGTGCGGGATTCCCATAAAGCATGTTTAATTACATCTCCTTCAAGGAAGGCTGTTCTGAATGCTTTTTCGAAAATCACATTTACGTTTGCTTTGATTATTCTACACAGACAAAAAATGTAGTTTTGTAAATAGTATTAAGAATTCACAAAGTGTTCTTCACTGTCAGTGATAGATCAGCCTTCGGATGTGATAAACTCCTTCTGTTTCCTTTGGAATTCTTGTTATCTCTATCTGTCATTGTCAAAATGTTGCCTCTGTCATGCTCATCAAGAGTACACTACTACTTTGTAGAGAGTGTGTAATGGTTGTTCGTATTTCTAGTCATATGTGTGAAAAGTTTTCGGGAAAAAATAGACGTATGCAATCTTGACATTTTTAAGTATTTAGCTTTTTCTTATTTCAAGAAACACTGATTGCCATACTTGTGATCTGTCTATTTGTGATTTTTATGCAGATATTGTGGTATCGGAACATATTTCTGCTTCTGTTTGAAAGGTTGTTGAAATATTTAAATTGTCGAATTTGCTCTATTTCAAAATTAGGTCGGAAACTGTTCATGATGTTCCTCTTCTCTACAGAGAAAATGAATGTGCGTACCCCAACCCAGATGAGCATGGACTCACCATCCTCACGAGCGGGCAACTCTAGCTGTGATTCAGGCTGTTACGCTGGAGGTGAAGGGCCAAAACACCAAACGCGACGTCGCGGTGGGGGAGGTGGGCGGAGCTTAGACAGATCCAGTCCAGCCGGCTACCAGCCAAGCCCCAAACCCCAGCGCACTCCTTGCCGCTCGTGCGGGAAACCCAAACAGCCGAGGAAGAACAGCGGGCCTGCTGCAGGTGTTGCCCACTTTATGATGGGGCAGCCTATGATGGGGCATTACGCCCCAAACCAGCCGCAGTACCACTCTAGTCATTCTCCCTATGCACCAGGGCACTACCAGATGGCGCCTATGTCACAGTACGCACACCACAGCCCTGCGCACTCAATGCACTCAATGCACCCTACACACTACACAACTGGCCACGGCGGCTACGCACCACCTCCACACATGCACATGTCGGCTTCCAGAACTCTCACAGAGATCAGTGCGTCTGACAACAGCAGCGCCACCCCCAAACTTCAGACTTTTGCTATTGGGAAACAGAACTCTGCTGGGGTGGTGGCTGGGCAGCACTCGGAGCAAGGTGGAGCGTACGCAACGTACAGCGAGAAGGGCTCTATAGGGGATCGAGTGTCGCTCACAGAGGAAGACCAGGAAGTTATAGCTATCACATACGGCACTACCCAGGGCAGGAAACTGTCCACACCGGCTCAACCCTTGCCTTCCAGCTCTTCGCAACTGGACATAGGACCAGCTGGGGTGTGTAGCCCGTACGCACCGCTCTCCGGCTGTCCGCAGTGCGACCAGTATGTGTTCTGTGATAGCGCCTCGTGTTCGCAGTGTTTGGCCTACACGTCTTGCCCACAGTGTGTTCAGTACAGGCACTACGTCAACACGACCATGCGGTCCGACAGTAAATCTTCCAAGATGTCGTGCAGCTCCACGTGCACGCAGACCACGTGTCTGAGCCCTGACCACGAGGAAGGCAATGCCGCTACAGCCACAATCATTGACTACACGCCAAGTCCTTCTGAGTCGTACTATGGCCAAAGAACCAGCCCGGGGAGGGGACCCATGACCCCCCACCAAGTCCAGCATCAACACCAGCTTCAGGCTATAATGTGCACACCAAATCTCAGTGCTCTGCACCACTCCTCAGGAAAACCCCACACCCCGGACCCGCAAGTGCCCCCGAGCCCAGCTATGTCGGTCAAGTCTCAGCAGTTGACCCTTGCCCTGGCCGACTCCACCACACCCCACGGGGTCGCCATGTCCTTCCCCGGCGACCCTCCACCCCCGGGGGCCAGCCCTTCCCCTGCGGTGTGGGCGGGGCAAGCAGACGGCACGGAGGCGCCAGGTATGGCTACCCTGTACAGCCGGGGGAAGGCACAGGCCCAGGAGAAGAGCGAGGGCAAGTCAGAGGGGGGCCAGGTGAAGAGCCCCACGCGCTCCCTCATGCCTCTCGTCTCCACCAAGCTCAACGCAGAGAGGATCGACCTCACACAGATGCCCTACAGCAACACGGTGAGTGCAACCCCCCCCCCCCCCCCCACCCCCCCTTTAGATTGAAAGTGCTGTAGGACGGTTTTGGGTTGTTAGGGTTTTTTGGTAAGTGTTTTACGGGGTGCTCACAACTGCATGAGGTCAAGTGAGTGGGCGGAACACATTAAACATTTTCAGTCGGTAGAAAATTTTGAATTCAGCCTGGGTGAGGTCCGAAGCCTACTTTTATCGATTTTGGACCTCCAAGGGATCTTTAACGGGCGCAACTTCCTCTAGGGACCTCAAAGGTTTTTCGCCCTTATCCGAGAAGGCTAGGTTTAGGATCTTACCTATTATAAGATCAGGGGCGTGGTGAAAGACAGCTGTAAGAAGGAGCCAAGGTGTAGCAGTAGAAAGGCTGAAGAAAGGGTCAGGAGCCCAGAGGAGGGGGCAAAGGAGGTGAGGGGGTGGGGGCAGAAAGTGGAGACGAAAGCAGACAACAGAATACTGACTATAACCAAAAAACCCTACACATCTCTATGTTGACTATAAACAAAGTGTTAACGAGTCGCTGTTTGTCCACAGATCGGTCACTGCGGCATCCCGCCCCTCCTGGTGCAGCGGTACGCGGAGGAACTGCGACAAGACATGGACACCATGGCTCTGGTGCTGGAGCAGCTGAGAGAGAAACACCTGAGAGCGCAGGGACGGCCTTATGTGAGTAGCGGAGATAGTTCACTTATAGTCTAAATTACTTATGTGAGTAATGGAGTTATAGCCTAAATTACTTATGTGAGTATCAGAGCTCGTTAACGCTATTTGATGATTAAACAGCCTAAACTGCTTACAGAAGTACAGGGCTTGCTAACACAATTTGATGAATATGCAATCTAATTTAGTCTAAAGTATTTCCTTGTAGGCTTTATGTGAGTATCGGAGCTTGATAACACGATTTGATGATTATACAGCCTAAAAAATTACTTATGTGAGTAACAGAGCTATCAAATGTGATTTGATGAATATACAGTCTAAACTATTTCCTTGTATGCCTTATGTGAGTATTGGAGTTCTTTAATGTGATTTGATGAGCATGCAGACTAAACTACAGTAGAATTTGTTAAAGATGGCCACCCATTGTCAAGAAGAGGAGTGGTTGTCTTAGACAGGTGACAGGTGGACTTCTTTAGGGTTACCAATGACGTAATATTTCCTAGTGATGTGAAACCATTGTCATCACGTATTGCTGAGAACCAGAACCCAGAAAAAAAACTTTTGACGCATGTCAGTAAATGTAGCAGATCAATCTTCTAGGTTTTTTATCAGTCATTTCACGTCTTCACATGTTGCCCACAGATCCAGAGCGAAAGTCTCAGTGACTCGTGTAAGAGTGCGTGCGATCTTCAGATCTCCTCCATCCACGAGTTTCTGATTTCCATCGGCTTGCCCATGTACCAGCAGTCGCTGACAGAAGGGGGCATCCTGTCTCTGGATCACCTGCTGCGTGTCCGCGAGACGGAACTGGAGCAAATGACGGGTGCGGACTCGCGGCACCTCAAGCGTGTCGCGCACGCGTTGGAGTGGGTGAGACACAAGCTGTCTTCTCCCAGCCACAAGGCCCGGGCCAGTGGAGGGGTCACCGACAAAGTCTGAAGGGGTCGTTCACCGACAAAGTCTGAAGGGGTCATTCATCGACAAAGTCTGAAGGGGTCGTTCATCGGCAAAGTCTGAAGGGGTCGTCCATCGACAAAGTCTGAAGGGGTGATCCGTCGACAAAGTCTGAAGGGGTCGTCCATCGACAAAGTCTGAAGGGGTGATCCGTCGACAAAGTCTGAAGGGGTCGTCCATCGACAAAGTCTGAAGGGGTGATCCGTCGACAAAATCTGAAGCGGTCATCCACGGACAAATTCTGAAGGGGTCGTCCATCGACAAAGTCTGAAGGCACGGGGGTCATTGACAGATCTGAGCTTGACCTATTCTATAGAAGCCATTGTGATATGTGCTGATAAAATGAGTTAATTCTTAGAGTTTAGCTCTATTAACACAGATATGTACGTCTAATTTATAGGTTTCATTTGTATGATTTATGACATGAAATGATAAAAGGCACGTTTAACTTGAAGAAAATCGCATCAGTTAAAAATCTTCTAATTTGATATGTCTATTTTTGGCTGAACACCTACATTCATGGATTGCGAGAAGTAACTCATTTTGTCAGCCCATCCCACCAATGGAAAGGCCTGTTAAAAGATTGCTTATATTTTCGTGGTGCTAAGTAGCCTACATGATGTGTATGAATTATATCATTGTGAGCTGTGAGCTTTTAGTGTGGTTTTTATGTATAAATGTATGTAAAAGTACAAGTGTGTAGGTATATATTTATATATTTATGCACATTGTGTGTGTGTGTATGTGTGTGTGTTAGTGTGTATGAAATTTGACTTTTGTTTATAAACATGAGAAAAATGACCATTTCATGCTGACTGAATGTTCTTGGAACTATTTAATGGAACGCCACACGTACAGCTTTTGTTGTTTTGAAATATTAATAAAGTTGATATATAACTTCAGTATACAGTTCTAGAAAAAAAATAATGTTTCCCACTCATTAATAATGATGTTACGTTACTGTGCAGTTGATGGCTTCCTTCCTGGTCTGGCTTTAATGGCTATGAGATAACTTAGTCTTGCTTGATATTCAGTCGTCGAATCCGAGATTCTGGGTTGGGTGATCTGCTCCACCCGTGTGAACCTTGTGCGTTTAGGAAAGGTACTTTTCCTTATATCTTAATCAATTTATCCAGCTGCTTATGATTAGTTGACAAGAAAGGAAATCAGAGGACGAAAGCATCTTTGCACATAAGATGCTGCTTTACTGCATGTCCCCCCCAACAGGGAAGGGAAGGTAAAATTGGAGTGAATAGGCTCACCAAAGAAGCTATAGGGGAGTTTTTGGAAAGTCTTGTGAGCCTTCTGACTGAAAGGACACAAGACTTCATAAAAACGCCATTTTTACTTTGTCTAACATTGAAGACATAATCCGTCTAGTTGGTTGACTTGTGCAAATAACAGATATATAAATCTTTTGAAATTTGATGATTGATAGTATTAGAAACATGTTTTTCAGCTCAGAAGATTGATTTTAGAAGTGTTAAGATGTGAATGAAGTACATTGAAGCTTTGGGCAAACTTTCAACGGCTCTACTTGCATTGGAAGTTTGTTGTTATAAAAGTTCTATTTTATCACTATCCTATCGTTTTCTTATTCAAAACGTTCATACTGGCAAAATCTTTTCCTACGCAATTTCAGTTTTTCAGCCCAGTAATGGGTGTGTTACTTTTTCACAATGAATCTTGCCATTGATTCCATGTTATTGGGGTCCATTTGCTGTTGTCATTTTTTAGCCCGGTCAGCGTTCCCGTTAAAAAAGATTACTTTATACTTCTTTTGAAAATCAGCATTTCTTCAACCTGGCTTCATATGGGTTTGTTTTTTTTTAGGTGAATTTTAAGTAAACTGTTATAAGTGCCCATTATTTATATTATTGGAAAAGTGAAATGATTATCCTAAGTTGTTTTTTTTAACTGTGTGAATTTTCTCCACGCAATGCCAGTCCTGACTGCCAGTGAAAATAGGTGTAATTTTGTAAAAAGATATTTGCTCTGTACCTCTTTGTGATGTTAGCATTTCTTCAACCGGCCTTTGCATGAGTTTTTTTGAAGATATGTTCAAGATGATGTTGTTAATACCCGTTATTTTAGTCATTCAAAAGGTGAAAAGTTTTAACTGAACTTTTTTAAACTGTGTATTCGCCATGGGGAACGCTAGGCAAAAAAGATAACTATGTTGGACACAGCATGTTCTGATCATTAGTGGAAATTATTTGTTAGCTAATAGAGAAAAATACTGCATAGTTCAAAATAGTTGTGGCTCAACGTATTTTTCAGAACCATTATAAAGTGGAGTAGGCTATAGTTGAATGAAACAGTATAGGTACAAGTCATTAGTGTAGATGAAATCCTTCAGCACTAGCATCATTGTGTTAGAATGTACCACACAGCTGCCACTTAAATCTTTAACAATGCAATTTATATTCCCGTTTCTGCGTCATTTTCTCATGTTAGTGGAAATGCGACCCGACATATTATGTTTTTAAAAACGCTTTTTTTTTGCGTCAAACTGATCAATAAAGCGTCATCCAGACTTAGAATTTATTTATCTTTGGCTTTCGAGTTTAACTAAAGGTTTGTGAACTTGTACTTTAACTTCGGTCCGTACCATAATACAATAATAACTTTGCATCAGACGGTGGTAGCGTCCAGCCAAGGTTACAGACCTCAACTACAGGATGCTGCTATCGTCCCGGCATGGTTAAAGAGTTAAACCTTACACTATATGTATAATATACATATACATATATTATGACAATAATGTTTGCTTGATGCTGTCAGGGTTTGTTTGCTTGCTGTGTTTCTTTATATATCGCGTTTGTACAAGTGGTGAAGAAAAAAGTGAAATTTTTTTTGTTTGGTATAACGAAAGTTTTGTTTTTCTGCTTGAGTGGAGTTCAGCAAAGGCATATCTGCTGTGAGAACGCTGGAGTGGTGCAGTTTGCGACTCACACCAAATGACCTTTGCCATACATTTGTCTTTCATTCATTGTGGTACCAGCACTTTCGCTGCTTTTGTCTTGTGGGGAGAAATTTCCTCACAAGACTCCTGCAAAAAAACAGTGCTGTTCTAATTGTCTGGGGGGGGGGGATTGTATGTCATGAGGTAAAGTTTACCACATTGGTAAGATTTTTTTTTTTTGGAAAAATAAAATCTACTAGAACTTGACAAGCTGGCAAAATATTTGGCCTATGTTTAAGATAAACATTGATATGCTTGTTTCACAATTGGTAATTCTTTTTGAAAGACGCCATTGGGTGTTTGTTTCAAGGTTTTTATAAGTACAGGTATTTGACTTGTTTGTAATCCTATCACACGTGTCGTGTTTTTTTACTCTTACAAGTTGTTACTTGTTTCTTTTCTTGTTGTAGCATGTGAAGATAATATGAGAAAAGAGGGGAGAAGAAAAATTGAAAACTTGTAGGAAGTTTTGAAATGAAACTGATTTGGACCAGAAAAGTGTCGAGATGACTTGTTTATGTTCATGTTTCTCACCGTTCTAGATCAGTTCATTCTCTGTCTATACGTGCTCTCTTTCACTTTTGTCTTTTCAAACGCTTCAGATGAAAAGACAAACGGAATTTGTATATTTGGTTTGTGATGCGGTTTTCATAATTCAATGATTATGAAGGTACTGTTGTGTGCAGGCAGGCTGATTTAAAAAAATCTCTTTTGTGCTTTTAAGTAAGCAATGCGTTGTAGCGAGGCGTATCTGAAGATGTAAATCATCTTAAGGTGTCAAAATCCCTTTCTTATCAGTTGTTCTTAATGGTTTTGCAATGTTGGTTAATGTTACTGCGTGATCTGTATGACTCTGACAAGAGAGGCAAACTGCGGCAAAGTGTACATGTGGGTGGTTGGAGGGTGCTCTGATGTGGTTGGCTCTTTCTTTCCTATCAAACATCTGTGGTCCTTTTTTCTCCTTCTCCTCCTTTTATTTGTATGTTACTGTCTAGTAACACCTCCAATCTGTGGCACTCGTACGATGACCTGATTGGGTCGCAAGTGTAGTTATATGCTTACTAAATGGGTAAGCAAGTTATTCAAATGGCTAAATAGCATTATTGAGACTATTTCCCTTATGCTGCTTGTTCAAATCGAAGGCTGTGTTTCATGCGTGTATGTGTTTCATGCATGTGTTGTTTCATGTGTGTGTGTTTCATGCATACATTGTTTCATTCATGCGTGCATTGTTTCATGCGTGTTTTGTTTTATGATTGTGTATCTCAAGCGTGTGTTGTTTCAGGCGTGTGTTGTTTCATTCATGCGTGCATTGTTTCATGCGTGTGTTGTTTTATGCGTGTGTATCTCAAGCGTGCGTGTTTCATGCATGTGTTGTTCATGTGTGCATTGTTTCATGCGTGTTTTGTTTTATGCCTGTGTTGTTTCATGCGTGTGTGCTTTTATGCGTGTGTGTCTCATGCGTGCGTGTTTCATGCATATGTTGTTCATGCGTGTGTTGTTTCTCTTCGTTGAAAAGAGCTCAAGTAACATAATGTTTTTCAGACAAAAGCGAGCACATACCTCATGAATCCTGAAGAACTGCTCACATAAATGTGCAAAGAATATAGATAATGCATGTAATAATAAATGCATATTTGTATGTAATATAACTAGCTCAGCTTCATTTCATTGTTCAAGTTTGTGATGGTATGTAGAAAAATGTTCTAATTCTAATCGAGACTGCATGTCGTATTTTTCACAATTCATGTTTTGTGTTTGTTTTTGTTTAGTTTTTTTGCATTTGTTCGATTTCAATAAGCTTGCACTTTCATATAAAAGTTTGTACAGCGAAGGCCAATATTTACACTTAATTTTTTCATTTGATTTCTGAGAGAGAGAGTTTGCCCAAGTACAGATTGACCTGACTTATTCTTCTCTCCTCCCTATTTTGCTCGTGCTCTTTGCAAGTTTTAGAGTCTTGTCAACTTGAGGATTGTTCATGAAAATAAACAGAGCTCTTAATTTGTACAGTCTTAGAGTCTGTGTGTATGTAGGGGGGGGGGGGGAGAAGGACAAGATGACCTGCAGAACACGATGAAACAATTTTCACCTCAATAATTTACTCTAAAATTGTGTGTGCCTGGCTCGGCTTTATTTAGGGGCTCCTGACTCTTTGCATCCTCTGTTCCAAAAGAGGAATGGAAAGTAGTAGTGATTTTTTTTTAAATCTTCATAACAGAGAATCATACTTTGGCTGGACTATCTAAGTACCTTCCAGTTGAGAGACAATTTGGCTGGACTGCCTAAGTACCTTCCAGTTGAGAGACAAAACTTAGGTTTGTTTACAACCTATTCGATTTAAAAGTATGGGACTCCGTAAGACTATTCACAACACGTGGGTGGTTGGTGGGTGCTTAACAGTTTTTGGAGCCTTTTTAAAAAGAATTGTTTTACTTATCCTTTGGACTAGATGGCTGTTGGGGCACCAAGAATGATGGGGAAACACTTTTCTCCATCCTTCTCTTTTTTCAGCCTTTTGAAGGGCTTCAAATTATAGGGACATGTATGTTCCTCGTGTATTTCTGGCAAACGTTGCTGTGTTCATGAAGACTTGCCAGACTGAAACTCAAAATGAACCCAATTTTTTAATTTTTTAAAATTTCCATAACTCCATAACTTGCTTAAAGAGAATCATTGACTGAGCCCAGTTGTTATTTCTTCCTTCTTCGCTTTTTTATTGCTCATAAAATGTATTGAGAAACTCTTGGTAGTCACTATATTCCTTCATTCTGGGACAAGATGATGACTTACTCATGACTTGGGACATCAATACGTGTACTGATTTCAAATGTAATGACAAATAAAAAACCTCTCAGAAGTCACGATATTCTTCCATTCTTGGACAAGCATTATAATTTACCCGTAACTTGAGACAACAATGCATATACTGATGACTTAGCAGAGCAACACATGTTCTCAAAGCGTGAGATAGATAAGTATGTCTACTCACATCTTGGAGTGACAAGTCAAAGGCATGAGCTCAAGGCTTAGGTTACACTTGTGTGTCAACACGATCAGCTCAACTCCTTCAGCTTCGGGTGGTTAAGCAATGACAGAAAACTGTTGCTCAAGGTCTTTTTCATGGCATCTCCGTTATAGTTATAGTGACCATGCCTCTTCAAAATCAAATTTTTCATCACAGATTTCATGCTCTGCAAGTTTTCATATCCTCCAAACACGTAAAAGCAACTTTGGGGCCAAAATTTTGCACCTTACATATTATGTTGTATATTATTACTTGTGATTTTGTCATGGAAAATTGTTTTTTTCCTGGTAACTTATTTTCTGTGACATTACTTTTGCCTGGGAAAAAAAACACCCTATACCATGGGGTTATAATCTGATTTTTAAAAAGCTGATATGTGTGGTATCGTGGTGAAATCAGGTGCTTGTCAAAATAATGAAATCTGAAAACCCGACATTTTTCCGACGATTGTGCAATTTTTATTAAAACATTTTTGGTACAACACCTTTCACGTCCATTAAAAAACACATTTGTGTGGGTTTTAATGAAAAAGTTAAAGGCACAAAAGATGTAAATTGACAGTTTCTCAGGAATTTAAAGCTTGGAAGTCACCAAACTTTTTCGGCCTATTTCTCGCTAATTTTTCCTCTTACACTTACACCAGAAAACCGCCACCTCCTTCAATCATAAATATGTCTCTATTTCTATTCAAGAGAGATGGGCATTTTTGGGATGGGGAGGGGGGGGGATCTCAAGCAAGACAAATGAACAAGCTTTAAGATGATAGCAACAACTCTACGTGCCCAAAAATTGACAAGCTCCTGATTCCACTGCATCACAACACATATCTTGATCTATTCACTTTGTATAAGAAATCTCAGCTTACTATGTGTGAAATCTGGCATTGGGCTGAAAGCTACAAGACCAGCCTCGCGACTGGATCAAGCAACATCTGCTCCCGTTGTGTGTCGTTTCAATAAGAAAGTTTTTGTTGGCTGAATTCTTTCAGTCTTCTCAGAGTCTGGAGACAGTTTGGATGAGAGAGTGCTACACACACATACAACACAATGAATCGCCAATGCAGATTTGGTGCTTGTAAATAACAAAGCAATTTTCGTCTTGCGGTAATGATATCTGCTGACAATAAATGCACGCAATGATTCCTTTCCTGATGACAATTAATCAACGCCGGGAGTATTATAATTGTCCAAGGTACTCCCATCTCCCTCCTTTTTTTTTTTTTCTTTTTGGTCTGTTTCTTGTGCTGAACTGCAAGTCATCCCTGATTTTTTTTCTCCTGATATCCACTGTGGATAGTGCTGCAGCCTGAGTCCAATTTTCTATCTCTGTATTTCTTTATGATATAATGTGTAAAATATACAGGTATGTAGTGGCCCTTAAAAAAAACCCATGATGCTCAGTAGTTCACATTTTGTTCTAATTTAAGCAATAAAACAAGACCATTGATGATTGCGCATTGTTGTCCCTTTATGTCTGTGAGGTTTTTGTTTGTTTAGTAAGAGTTTTACGGCACTTGCAACAAAATAAGGTCATATAAGTGCTGAAGATTAGAGATGTTACAAGAGAGTAAGAAACACAAAAAAGAAGGAGGGGGGTAGAGACGACATATTTTTTAATATTTATATATATATATATGAAAGAAGGAGCAAACCGAGCACCCTCCAACCAGCCACTGTGAGGTGTTTGTCTTTTTGAATTTCATAGAGAACCTGTACGTACCATTTTATTTCTCAGGACCAGTAAGCACAGATGTAAATAATGCAGGGGGGAGTCATATTTTTAATAAGAGTTTTCCAGCTCTTGTATCACAATTAGGTCATATAAGTGCCGGAGATTAGAGGTGTTACAAGAGAGTAACACTAACAAACACAATAAGTAGGAGGAGAGATTTAAGGATGATAGATGTGTTAGTTTAGTTTTAGTTTTAGTAAGAGTTTTACAGCACTTGCAACACAATAAGGTCACAAAAAAGGAGGAGGAGAGATTTAAGGATGACAGATGTTTGACTGGAAAGACGGAGCAAACCTGGCAGAAACCACGCCAACCACTGGCGGCGTGAAGAATGTAATCTCCACCTATACAGTTGAACTACCAGATCTGATACAGCCCTTACTGAGTGTTACTTTCTTTGAAGTCCCAGTCACTGGAACAGTCACTACTTATTCCAATTCATGATTCATTTATCGACACCTATTGGGCTGATGTCACAAATCAATGGTCCTTTAGCCCCTTTGTCATATGTGAGACATCGTGGTGAAATCAGGCGCTCGTCAAAATAATGAAATCAAAGAAACTGGCATTTTTATGGCCTTTGGACAATTTTTTTTTCTTCTAATTTTCTTTTTTGGCTCAGTTCCATTTATGACCATTTAATTAAAAAACACGTCCGTGTTGATTTTACTGAAAAACACAGATTAAAGGCTCAAAAACTGTAGATTTTCAGTTTCCAAAGAAATGGAAATTACCAAACTTTGGCGACCATTTTCTCATTAAGGGGAGACGTACACTCCCGGAAAAATTTTCTAAACGAATGACTTTTATTCACTTTCATGTAATTGTGCAAGAAGTTCATAGGCAAATAGGATGTACTAGGGGTGAATTTGTTGAATTTTTCTGAAAAATGGGCCTCTGTGGTGGCTATCTTGGACTTTCAAACCAGTTTCTTAGTGCAGAAGAATTTCATAGTTAAAATATTGAATTATCAGCCTGAAAATTTGGCACACAAGTACATACCTATATGAAGTGGGGATCCATGTGAGGATTTTGACCTATCTTTAAAACTAAAAAAGTTAGCCCAAAGTCATTAGACCCTCAAGAGTCAGTTGACAAAATTTTGGGGTAGCCTACATATTACTATTACAAGAAATTTGAATATTTCCACAAGTTACCAATATTTCCCAATTCCCTCACTTGGATCCCCAGAATAGATCTTAAAGCACATGTACACCAAATTTTTAACTTCTAGCTTCAGTAGTTTTTGAAAACTCCTTGCACCAAGGAGGTCACATATGTCAAAAAGTAGATTTCGAAAAAAACACTTTAAAAAACCAGGGACTTTTTAAAGGATTTTTAGAGCAATTTGCACTTCTCAAACGCCCTATTAGGTCATTTAGAGTGTTTTTTCTACAGTTTCTTCATTGTGACCTGATAGAACAGATGTCAAAGGATGTTTTTCCGCAAAAAGCAAAAGTTGGATAGTTTGAGAAACTTTATCGATATTGCCTGGGATCGCCGACCCAGGTCTTCCCTTAATTTCACCTCTGAAGAAAGCAGGGGGCCCTCACCTCCTTCAGTCACAAATATCTCGACTTCTATTCAACGTAGATGGGTATTTATTTCATCAAAAGCAAGGCAAATGAACTGACTTTACGATGATACCAATAATCCTATAAGCCCAAAAATTGACGAGCGCCTGATTTCACCAAGTTGTGCCACATATGGTTTTTCCCACTTTTACTGCACCCAATTTTCTGGTAAAATTCCGTTCAAACCTATAGTGCTGCAGTTATAATAAAATCCTGTACAGTACACGTAGTACGGTCCAAGCGATTGGCGTAATCGGCTGATTTTAGGACGTAGGCTACATTGTACGGGGAGACAGCATCTTGGCACACAATGTTTGACGTACGGTGTACGGTAGCTGTCACAAAGGGGTTAGTTTTAGTAAGGTTTTTACGGCGCTCGCAGCTTCGTAAGGTCATATGAGCGCCAAAGGGTGAGGGAATGTCAACAGAGAAGTCCAAACCGGGAATCAGGCTTACTCTGCTCACCTCTCTAGTATCAACAGCACAAAAGTCTGCTTCGACTATCAAGGCACTCCGGAAATAGCAGTTCACAAAAGAGTGAGAGATATACAAAAGAAGTAGTAGGAAAATGACCATAGTAAGGATGAGGAAAGAAAAAACAGCAGTTCCCCTTATGTTGGTTCCGGCACAGTATGAGCATCACATTGATTAATAGATAACTCAGCCCATTTACAATTCTACTGTGAATAAGAACATGTTAGTTAATATCCCCCCTTTGGAAATGGCCTAAAGACAACTTCAGTCAGTAGCACAGTAACCTGCTGAACAGGGAAAGAACAAAGGGAGCACAGAACAATAGACTTTTTTTTTACAGTACAATAAAGCAAAAACCCAAAACAAAATTCTTAAAATTGTCAATTTTTTTAATGCACAAATTATAATAAATTTCATTTTTAAAATGAAGAAGGATGGTCGTGACAAACAGCACAGGAAGTTTATGTATGTAATATTCAAAAACACAACAGACATATTATTATTAGGGAGTGCTTATTTAGGCCACATATGGCCTAAATAAGGTAAGGGAGGGGGGTTTAGCTTATTTAGGCCACAGTGGACTGTGGCCTAAATAAGGTAAGGGAGGGGGGTTTAGCTTATTCAGGCCACAGTGGACTGTGGCCTAAATAAGGTAAGGGAG